GGTGTATGTGGCCAGCGCCCTACTCACTGAGCTACGGGTGCCAAGCCTGGGGGTTGTCAAAGGTAGTAGGGATGTTTGGGGGCAAGAGAGATGAGGCTAGGAAAAAGGATGGAAAAATGATCCCTGAGAAGTTCGGTACCAATCAGCTCAGTCCTTTGGCTTCTGCTGACCAAATAAACACTCTCCAATTGGAGCAATGATTACCCAAAGAAGGGCTAAGGTGAAGATTTTTCACTATAGAGAAGTTAATATAACTGGATGAATGAAGCACCAGTCTGGTGGACCAATGGCCCAGCAGCAGAAATAACTTAAAATAAGGAGTCTCACTTATGGTAATGGAATTTATCCAGGAGTAGCAATACTATAATAATAATATATATACATACACAGAAAGTGCTCCCCAAAATGTATACGCATTTTAAGAAAGGGTAAAACGGTATTAAAATTGTATTACTTAATATATACTGGTAACAAAAGATGAATACAAGTCTCGATTGACTTCTGCAGTTATTAAGAGGTGCCGGGAATGTCGTACTACACATAGTTACCATAATTCAACTCAACTTAGAAGAGAAATACATACATAACGTCACCTAAAATGTGCATACATTTTTTGGCACCTTGAGCATGCATGCAAAAGTATCTTTTTTGCAATCACATTATCATTTCACAGATCAGCCTACCGTGGAGCAGACCTGAGACTCAACTCTGAATCTTCCTCTTCCAAACCCAGCATTTCTCCCATTCTCAGCCTTAGAGCATCCTTTGCAAAGGCTGTGACACTCACTGACTGTGACACTCACTCCCTTTACACTTGACCTTAGTCAAAAGGTCAAGAACTGGTAACACTCACACATTCTATGCTTCAGAATTCGGGTCGTCCCCACTGATGTGCCAATAGTCACTCACTCGAACGCCCAGAGTCAAGACTGCCAGAAAATAAATGGTCCAAAATCTGTTTTCACTTCACACACAGGACTAACCCTTCTGATCAGTTAGCACCATACCAATAAATCTTTGCTATTTATTCACAAAGTTGAAAAAGATATTATTGAGGTGTTACTCCGGCTCATTAACTACTTACTCTGCTTCCTCGAAGAGATTCCCAATGTTTTTCAGTGGCTCTGCGGCCGGGCTCTGTGCCAGGATGTCTTTTATCTCTCCGACCTTCTTCTCCACTGAGTCCATAGTTTCCCGGTAAGGCCCGATCACACCACTGATCTTTAAGGCTTTGGCTTTCTCCAGGAATCTGTGGGTCCTATTGGTCAACTCGGCAATGATCACATCCCAGAGAGCAAAACACTGGTGGCAGGGTGTGCAGTTGGGGAAGACCCCGGAGTACCCTCGAGTACACTTGTCACAGCGGGGACCCTCAACACCCTCGACGCAGACACACTGGCCCGTAGACTGGTCACACTGTGGTATCTCGATGCCTCTGGGGTCACAGTCACAGGCTAGGAGGGAAACAGAAATGCTAGCTGATCTGCTTGATTGTGAACCTCAGGGACAAGATTTGGCATTTAGAATCCTCATATGCTGTTAAAGCTGGATGGTGTCAACCATCAATGACAGAGTACCAGTGGCTCCTGTAGAGACTGCAGCTGCTCATTCCAGCATAAGCATGACTTCAGCTCTTGCTGACCCCTTCTTAGTAATAACATAATAATTTACAAATTCTCAGTTAATACTTACTGAATATTTACTGTGCCAGGCATTGTAGAAATGTTTTACACACATCACCTCATTAGTCCTCACAATAACCCCATGGTTATTATAATACTATTTCACAGATGTGGGAACTGAGGAATAAAGAGATTGTATAATATGTCCTGAGTCTCATAGCAAGGAAAGGCTGAGCCAGGATACTGATTTAGCACTTTGCTCCCCCATAATCTGTGCTCTTAACCTTGTTCCTGCCTCTGCCTCCCCCTTACTCTGACTTCCCTTCAGACCATGTCAGCACAGATAATTCAGGTTACATCCTGATAACATAAGCCATCTGGCATAAGATACACCATAAACAAGCAGCTCCTAACATAACTGACCCCATCTCATCACAAAACAGAACGGTTACTACTTAGTGAGATAATAAACTTGATCAGAAGAAAACTAAATCCCAAAGAACTCACAGGAATTCTAAGTATCTGGCTGAAAGGCTTTCAACTAAGTATAATCTAATCTGTGAGTATCTGCCATGACAGTAACCACTCCTCACACTACGATCATAGGCTCATAACATGTCGGAAGGGATCTTGGGAGCCACGTAGTCTCAGCCTCTCACGGGCCCAACAGGGTTGACATCTTAATCCAGAGCCAAATGGCACAGGGTAAAGTCGCACATGGTACGGGGTAATAGCCAATAGCAGTGGCTGAGATAACTTATCACAGTGCCTGTGCTGTTGACTCTGGCTTAGAGGCCCAAATCTCAGGTGACCAAATGACTTTTATATCAACATCTGACATTCACAGTATTTGTACAGTGAGTAACAAAAGGCCTGTACACACATCTTATCCCTGGCCTTACATGTATTCTGGGAAAAGGTGGGAATAAATAAATTAGAAGAGAACAAATCTACACCAGCTTACTTCCCTAACTAGACTGTGTACTCTGGGCAGGGATATGTCTTAAATCATTTTTCTTGTCCCCACATGGGGTACAGGGTTAACTTGTAATTGGAGTTCTCTAGTGTGCCAAATGAGGCCCTCACCTCATTTCAGTACATAGCATATGAGGGACATTCACACACCTTTATAAAAGAAAATAATCCTCCTGAAATGCAATGTCAACTGTGGCAGAGCATAACAGATTCATAACCTCTCAGATAACTTTGTAAAATCTTCTTGGGACAATAGCTGTGATTTGCCTCTGAAAGACTTTCCAATAGGAAATCTTGAATTGCCAGTTTATCTTCTGATTGCCTTTGTTGGCCATCTACATTCCAAGTTCTCCAGTGAGATCTGAGGACAGCACCATGGTTAGTTCAGAGCACACGCTGCGGACTGAGCTTGTAAGTCCTGCCTTCTCCACATGCCAGCTGCGCAATCCTGGGCAATTAGGAAGCCAAGACAAGGCTTGAACGTCTGTAAAAAGGTGTGATGAGTACACCTACCTCATATGATTGCTTTCAGGATAAAATAATAATTACGAATTGCTTAGAAGAATATCCAGTCTACATTTAATGAACAGCTTTACTGCCACCTTCTATTGCTCCTACAGGTCTCTGGTGCTCTCCTGCCCAGAGTGTTGATCACATTTCCATGGCATAAAGGGCAAAATAAAGCAACTTATGTTCATTTCTCTCTTTTTGCCAAAATGTCATGATGATACAAAAATGTGACGTTTATTTTATTTCATTCCTCAACCTTTAGGATTTTAAAACAGTACTTTCTTGGTATCTGAGTTTTCAAAACTAAACCTTAGGATTTCAAAACTAAAATTGAGTGTTTCTTGTTTGTTTCTTGAGACAGAGTCTCGCTCTGTTGCCTAAGGCCAGAGTGCCATGGTGTCACAGCTCACAGCAACCTCAAACTCTTGGGCTAAAGCATCCTCTTTCCTCAGCCTCCCGAGTAGCTGGGACTACAGGCGTGTGCCACCATGCCTGGCTAATTTTTGTACTTTTATTAATCTACCTGTCTCTACCTCACAGAGTGCTAGGATTACAGCTATAAGCCACTGCACCTGGCCAGGTGTTTTATTTTTTAAAACATTATTTCTTCCTAGGTGTTTTAAGGTATATTTCATTTTTCCTGCTTTTTGAATGTTCTCATACTGAATCAAGAAGCAGTTTAGGCAAACTGTAAGTAACTGTAATTGTGATCCCTGGACCATCAATAGTGATCCCTGGACTTGTTTTTCAAAACATGGGACCCATAATAAAAGGGTAATTTGGGAAATTCTATTACCCCCTCTTGAAGATTAAAAACAAACATTAGCATACTAAAGACTAAGAGGAGTTCTGCAGGAAAAACCTGGTTTCACATTGTTTTTACCAGTTGTATCCCCAACACATTTCCCCATGGGACCTTTTCTTAGTGGAGTACCTGGTAACACCCCTGGGAAATGGTGAGAAAGGCTTGGGAAAACCTTTACTTTCATCATTTTCTGAGATCAGGAAGAACTTTGATAATGTTGTACCTGAAAAATGTAAGTCCAGACTTTAGGACTAAATTTCTGTATCAGTCATCTTCCAGGAAGCTGGAAGTTATCTGGGCCGTAGACTCTCGAACTTGGGTGTGCTCCACAATCAGCTGGAGGGCTCACAAAATTCAGATTGCTGGGGCCCCCGTCTCCCACCCCACCCCTGTCCCCTCTACCCCGGTTCTGATTCGGTAGGTCTGAGTGGGGCCCCAGAATTTGCATTTCTAACAAGTTCCTGGAAGCTGCTGACACTGAGGGTCACCAGACCCATTTTGAGGCATACTGACTGTGTTATCTTCCCAGCTATTTCTGTCTTGAGAGAGAGAACGAGAGAGAGTACACGTGCCTCCAAAGGGTGGCTCCTGCCTGTCAAATTTCAGAGCAGAATCATGACTTTGGAAGTTCACCAGTGTAGGCTGATGCACAAACCAGAAGAAGAAATGATGCCATTTGTAATAAAACTATTATGACTGCTCCTGCCCTGCAGGCTCCCAGTTCTCAGAAGGTGGCACAATAAACCACCTTCCGGGACCTGCCTACCCTGTGTCTCCCTTAGGCTGGACACAACTGAGGCAGACGCTGCACATGCTTTTAGTTTGCTTAGAAAATTGTTTCTTGGGCGGCACCTGTGGCTCAAAGGAGTAAGGCGCCAGCCCCATATGGCAGAGGTTGTGGGTTCAAACCCAGCCAAAAACTGCCAAAAAAAAAAAAAGAAAGAAAAAGAAAAGAAAAGAAAGAAAATTGTTTCTTCCCCATAGACAACATGAAGTCCAAAATAACAGATTTTTACTGGATTCATGCTTGGGGCAAGACACGCATCCATAAAAGTTTTAATTTCTCTGATAATTTTTTATTTCATTCTAAAGGCATGTCTTGCCCACATTCTGTTACAGGCGTCTTTGAGGGGAAAACACCAGCCCACACTGTAGCACTTTGAAGGCAGCTAAGGCTTCCCTCCTTAGGCCCAGGGAGTTTAGTCTGGACAAGTATTCCAGAGGGCCGGCAGAACCTCGGCTCTCTCCAGAAGACACCAGCCAGTTCAGCTGGATTGACCAACATTCCTTTCCCCCAACTAAGAAGTAAATCTCAAATTTCACAGATGGCTGGATTGCAGTTTTATCATTGAAACAGCCAGTCCTGAGTTCTCTCTGGAAAGGCACCAAATGACTCTTTAAAAATGTGTCAGGTTTTGATTTCATATTGAAACTGGGAACTGCTAAAGCTCCTGTGGACATGTTCTTCTTTCCTTCTCTATCGAATTTCCAGAAGTACTTCTCTGAGGGTCACCTGGGAGGCAAGCACTAGAAGGCCCACTTTTATAACTTATCAAGAGATCCCCAAAGATATTTCCAGGGAAACTTCAACACTCATATGGCTTCAGCTGAAGCTGAAGCTGAAGGTCAGTTCATACCTGACAATCTGAAACTCCCTGGCCACGAACAGCATGCAGGGGATTCCCCACACACCGGCCTCTAAAACACTACAAACCCACTCGGCAGGCTGTAGCTGACTGGGTCCAGGGAGGCTTATCCTCTTTCTTAATGAGAAAGGGAACAGAGTCCAAGCGACCTGGAACACAGTGTTGCTTTAAGAAATGGGATTATACGGCAGAGAATCTTGGAAAGGAGGATGTATAAATAGCAAAAGTTCTTGCCAGGTCTTTGTGAGGAATGAGTCATGGAGAGGAAGAAGAGCATTTTAAAATGATGTGATCATTTTAATGAGCCATAAGAATTCTCTTTTCATCTTTAAAAATATACTCTCTGTTTTGTGGCCAGTTAAGTTTCCTCTATTTTTTGCTAAATTTTCTTATAATTTAAAACATGATTCCTAAGAGGTAGATAAATAAGGATACTGTACCAAGTTTAAAGCTATTGAGGCCCAGAGGAAAACACTAGCAGGTCAGTGCTGCAATGGGGATCAGTCTGTGTACCTAGTGACCTGACAGACCTAGCTTCCTTCCGTCTCCTCCTCTCGACCCCTGGCCATGGGGCACGGTCCACCGCAGTGGCCTGCCATCAAGGCTTTTCACAATCTGGTGAAGCCAAGCCTCTGCCGTGACTCTCTAGCTCACACTCCTTTCTTGAGGTACCTCCCACAGCCTTGCCGTCCTTACTTTCCTTTATCGCAGACAATAATGTCCTTGCTAAAGGGAGGCTGTCAATGAGGACCCAGCACAACTGTGGAAGGACAGGGACACTGGGCATCACAGGCCTGGACTGAGATCCCAACTTCCCCGCTCAAGGTTTATCTTTGGGCAAGTCAGTTAGCCTCTCTGAGTCGGACGTTTGTCAAGTTTGAAATGGAGACATTGACCCCCATAAAAGTAAGAATATGTACACGACATGCCTGACAGTGCTCAGCACCCAGCAGTGTCTCTGTGAACGGCCACTAGAGTGGGCCCTTTCCACGAAAGCTTCCCTAGCGCTCCAGCTCCTGCTCCTCCTGACAACCGAGAAGGTCTGTGCAGATTGGTTCCCTTTTTCTGCTGTCCTGTCACTTCAAGTACCCTGTTTCCCAGGCAGCAGCCACTCTTTGCCACATTCATCTCCACTGTGTACCACCAGGCACTCACTGTTGGGTTGATTTCCACCTCGCCCTTGGAACTTAACTTTGCCTTGGGACAGAGAAAGTGGGGCATCCTAAGCATCATCAGGTAACAGGGTCCTCTGCGGCCACAGACCCTGCCTTAAAGCAACACAGGACTCCAGGACTTGCCACGGTGCCAAAAGGTTGACTGATACTTTACCTAGGCATTTCTATTTTACTAAAAGCAAGGGAAATTTAAGTCATTTTTCTCTCTTATGTGTGATTTCCTTTTTTCTGACATTCTCTCCTATCCATTTCCTTTCCTGGCTTCAATAATAGAACTTCAGTTGTGGAATGAAAGTTGGAGTTAGAATACAATTTCACCTGCAGAAATGAGCTGCCTGTCTAGCCTGGGGTTCACAAGCCTTTTATGTAAATGTTCAAGTAGTAAATCTTTAGGCTTTGCAGGCCATCTGTCTGTGTCATGGTACTTGACTCTGGCTTTGTAGCGTGAAAGCAGCCCTGGATGATACATGAACAAGTGAGGAAAAACTTTATTTACCAACACAGGCTAGATTTGGGCCCCTGTCTGTGGTTTGTCCACATCTGGTCTATCTTATCACTTCTGGGGACACAGACGCTGTTACTGGGATGATGCAAAACAAGACTTCTCTCTACTAACAACAGTATTTATGGTTCTCTAAAGAATCAGTCTGATTTTCTGAGTCACAAAGGAAATAAAGAATAGGTGGGTGATTGTGAAAGAAATGCCAACCTGAGAAAAGAACACAGGTATTCTAAAGATTAATGTGGGGGCAAAGGAATGTACTGAGTTTTTCTATTAAAGGCACATGAGAGCAGCACCCATAGCGCAATGGCTAGGAACCTGGCCCGGGCCAGCTAAACAATGACAACTGCAACAAAAAAATAGCCAGGCATTGCGGTGGGTACTGGTCGTCCCTGCTACTTGGGAGGCTGAAGCAAGAGAATCAATTAAGCCCAAGAGTTTGAGGTTGCTGTGAGCTATGGTGCTACAGCACTGTATAAGCATGATGGGGAAATGGCCACTACCCACAGGCTCTCACCTATGCCCCGCATTTCCAGTTTGCCTGGGTTTACAGACACTAGCCTTTTCCAAGAGCCAGAGGCCCCAAATGGAAATTTACCCTCCTTTTGCTATCTATGAATCAACAGAAAGATTCCTCCTGTGACTTTTTGACTCCTTAGGGCACAATGCAGCACTCCAGGCTGTTTTCTCCAGCATGGTCAGTGGTGGGTGGATGGGATTCTCTCTCTATCCCAGCACAGTGGTGGGCTTGTTCAGACTTGGCACGATGGGCCAACAGCCCCAACCCGCCTGGACAATAGGAACATTCAACCATCTGTAAGTTAGAGGCTCAACTCATTTGTCTTTCGCATAACTACATTTTTTTTCCATAAGGAGCATACTTAGCTATGACCTAAGTATTTCTGTAAGCATATTGTTAGCTAGATGGCAGAAGAAAGTCTAAATCTGAGCCCTTCTCACAAACCACTTCAACTGAAACGTATTTGGCAATTAATTACATAACCAGAGAAGAGACTTTATGTTCTCTTCCCATAGTTGCATCTAATTTTGGATTGCATCTCTTCTTTCCCCTTTACCTTCTTATCTCCTGTTCTGCTCCTGTGGCCCGTGGCTGGTGGTAATCCCACATTGTGGGGGACCACAATCATTCTCATTCCCTCTGGGTGCTTTGTGGGTAACCAGTTTCTCCCACAGGGTGTGAGAAGCCCAGCACCTTCTCTGAGAGCCTGCTTTCAGCAGGGGGTGTTCATCATCCTGGACTCTGGCACACCAAGTGCCTATAGCAACTGCCCCACCACGGCAATACTCCCAAATGCTCTCCTCCCCTCAAATTTCCAAATGTCTCTACCCCTGATCAGCTATTACAGGCACAAAGGAGAGATAGTGCCGAACTTCACACCCTAAAAGATGTGCCAACATTTTATAACTGTGAGTTGCCAAAGTTAGCAACAAGGTTAGATACCTTTGCTTTAGATCTTAACTTTGGAAAAGGGACATTTTATTCCCATTTAAAAAAAAAAATCTTAGGATGGAGGTGGAATGTATTCTTCTTAGTAAAGCATCACAAGAATGGAGAAGCAAGTATCCAATGTACTTAATTCTGATATGAGGACAACTGATGACCTAGTACATGGTGAGGGGTGGGGGACTGGGGGGTGGGGAAAAGGAAGTAGGTATGGGGGTGTGTAACACACCCCTTTTGGGCGGGAGGGAATTTATCTTAACAACTCTCAGGGTATTTTCCTTTCCATCATATCCTTGGGAAAGCTCATGATATCTCCAAAAAGTTTAAAACCAACTTTTTCTGGAGGGTGGGCTGAATGGATTTGAAGATTCAGTTTATAATATTAGGGTGACAAATATGGAAAGATCTAAAATAGATTAAGTTCAAAAAAAGCAAATTCTGCATGTGTGTGTTTAAAAATATAGAGAAGGATTGATATGGATCATGTACACCTGTAAATGCACAGAAAGAGCATGCGAAGGACCACACCAAACAGGGTGCAGAGAGGAGCGTGCTGGGTAGGGGATAAGCAGGGCTTTACAGAGGACAAATGCCTGAAGGGCGCCAGGCAGCTCTTTGCTGTGGGTTCTCCTTATTTGCCTGCATCCCTGCTGCCCTGGAGCCACTGGGATTGCCAGCACGATGGTAAACCATAAAGCCAGATGGTCTTTGTAGCTCTTCCATTAACTAAACGCCTGTGATTATCTTAAAGAGAAAAGGTCACACCAAAGGGAAGAGTGAAAGGAGTATACATGTGGGGTTTCATGTCCTCCTTAGGAAAACCACGTCTCTCTGCAGAATACTTTGCTTTTGTTTCCTATTGCTTGTTTGCTTTTCCTGAGTATCAGTTTCTTATGTAATGAGCTGACCTTTCTTCTGGATAAAATGAACAAAAAGTTGGCGAACACCAGTGCCATGCATCTAAGCACTCTTTGCAAAGTTTCTAAAACAGGATCTAACTTTTGACCTAAACAAGTTGGCATGGCCACAATTCCTCTGGCAGATTTAGGGGTGAAAGTTTAAAGAAAAGATAAAAGGGTGAGGGGTAAATTTCTGAGCGCTCCATGAATAATTCTCTGACTGACTCTGACTCTGGGTAGCAGGCTTTTCCTGTTAACAAAGCTAAGAAGGAGCAAAAGGTCAGAAGGCTTTGGCAGACACAGCTATTCTGCCAATGACACACGCTGATAGAATCAGAGGACCAGAGCAATGATAGAGCCTTGATCTGGAGAAAGATCAAGCCCTCAGGGCATTACAAGATTGAGGAATTTAACAGAACAGTGCTTAGAGTCCTGGAAAAGCCAGATTTTAAGCAGGGCTTTCCTTTCAGGGTACATCTTAGGAGAAACTGGCCCACTGGATGTCAGTACCTTCTAATGGAAGTGAGAACGTCAGATCTCATGAAGAACCAAGATCTGGACAACAGAATGATGAATGAAAAGGTCCCTGTTTCTAGCAAGCATCATCCTCTGTGTAGCAGACCTTAATCTAAGCTGTCCCTATAGACCCTTGGGCTAAGCTTCAATTTAAAAAACAAATCATATGCAATTTGTTCTGGTCCTGTTCATTGAAATTTTTTCTGCTATTAAAGAACAGCTGAGTTTGCACTCTGCAGGAAATTAGTTTTAGGTTTCTAACCTTCTACAGGAGGTACTGAATGAGTTGCTAACTTTAAGATCTGCATCACTTCTTGCTATAGTTGCATCCCAAAGAGAAAAAGGTCATTTTTAAAATTTATAGTCCAAGAAGGACCTAAAATTTCTAATGTGTAACAAAGAAAATAGACAAGAAAACATATAAGATATTACAGAAAATATCTATCTATAGTTACAAATTAAAAACACAGGGTAGAAAAATCAAGCGGGAAACAAAAGAATAGGAAAACAGAGTCCAGACAGCCTAGTAAATATTTTCCATAAATGCTTTTACTTTAAGATCTGAAAAAATCTGCCAGTTCCAAAAAAAAAAATGCAAGAGCACAAAAGTAAAACACTCTATGATTAACAGGATTTTAACAAATTGCTGTTCTTAAGAAAATGTCATTTCCCTCACTGTCCTTTTTTTAAAAAAAATTATCATAAGCCTAAGTAAGAACCTGGGTTTTGCTCACGTTTAACAGATTGGGGCTCCTACCACATAGACCTTTTGTTGTGTGTGAAGGCTCACAACACGACACGCACCACGTCACCCTGCAGTTCTCATGGTGAGGACACCGGCTTACTGCATGTAGCCAAGAGTTTAAGTGTCAGCAGAGTGTGGCTGATGCACTGAATCAAACGATCTTACTAGAATAATCATTTACCTCCGCTGTGCACATGCTCTCAGGAAGCTGGCTGCAAAATATTGTTCAGAGGGGACAAAAAGTCACTTCACACAAATACACAGTTCACACAGTCCCCTTCTGGCCAGAAGCATTAACAAATAAAGCAGCTGTATATGTATCCGTGGTGTGGTGTGCATGCTCACGCGTGCAGAAATAAACAGCTGCTACCAAGAGCGAGCACATGCACGCTTACCGCTCGCACTTATCTGCAGAGCTAGATTTGTTACTTTTTTTAAAGCAATCAGCATTAATTTCTTTTGTAGCTAAACATAGAGTTGTTTTTAATAGACAAATTAACTTGTACTACGCTTAGAGTTTCCAGAATGCCCCTGCAGATCCCTGCCCCCTCCCCAAATGCCAACGCAATAACGCCCAAGCCTCACCTCGGCACTCCACGTCGGGGTCTCCCCAGAACAGCTCCTGGCACTCGCTGCAGGTGCGGCCTCCAAACCCAGGCATGCAATGGCACTGCCCCGTGAACTGCAGCCAGAACACAGACCCCAGTCAAGCGGGCTTCAGGGCAGAAGCCAGTTGTCATTTTTCTCCCCAGCTGCCAGTTAGAGGAGGGACTGAACTGTCTGGTTAAGAAGCATTTGCTCATCCACTGGGAAAAGGGACTCCCACTTTGCTCTCAGGTGCTGAGAGCGCCACGCCAGCATCCCCTACCTGTTCTCCTGCAGCAGGGTCTGGACAGCGCATTATACTTTAGTCATGTTTCCTCGCTTTTATCCCCACAGATCAGTAACAAGCCCAGACCACATTAGACTTAGGGAGTGTGTCATTCTTAGTAGGTGCCAGGAAACAATGGCACTTTCTACAATGCTGGGTATGGCTTTTGGTTCCTTTCAAGCTGAGTTGCTAAGAAAACTGTCTGATTCAGCAGCCCCGTACTGAAGAGAAAGGGCTTGTGCTTGTCCACTCTTACAAGGCTGCCTCCACAGCTGGGGTCCTGCACCCAAATGCTGTGGATGAGTCAGAGGGGGACTTCACAGTTAAGGAGTCCCAGCCAAGGGGGACAAGTGAGGGCTGATTTCCAGCCCATGCTGTCTGCCAACCTGTGTATCTTGGTGCCTTGCTTTAATTGGGGCAAGGCTGCCAAATAAGCTGGCTGTCACCTGGGCTCATAAAGACATCACCTGGGCAGCAGCCCCTCACCTCATTACAAGAAGGCCCAAAGGAATGCTCAGCGTTGCAGTTGCACGGGTCACATCCAGTGCCACTGGCCAGCTGCCAGGTATTGGGCGCACAGCGGTCACAGTTCTGCCCGATCACGTTAGGAAGACACAAGCACTGGCCCGTGGCTTTGTCACACTGGCAGTCAGAGCCGTTGCAGTGCTCCTGCATGGTGCCCAGGTAATTGCAGACACACTCTGAAAAAGAACATGACTGCGTCTACTTGCTGTCACATGCACAAACGCACAGGTGCACAGAAGTTAGCTACATCCGAAATGGCCAAGAATTTCCCTCTCCAAATCTTGACATTGTGGTGCAAAAAAGTAAAGAAATGGAGGAGATTAAAACACTAATCTAAATGACTGTTTAGAGTCTCTTAGGATGTCCTACACAGTTCTGCCATTTCCCAGGGAGAAATGCCCAATGACACATTTTGCCGAAAAGTATGTTCAAAATATACAGATTTAACAAGATGCTGTTGAATCATTTGCAAATTGAAGATTTCACTGAAACCGATAAAAAAAATGCCAGTGGAAATTGAGATCTCTAACAATTTCAAACTCAGTAATGAACATGTCGGGCATCACAGGTAGGAGCCCTTTAAGCTAGAAAGGCTTTCAGCAATCCAGTACCCTGGTTCCCACATTCCTCACATGTTTGTATGATCAGAGCCGAGGCCTGGGGGCTTCCAGCAGAAGGAGAAAATGCTGGCTGATCTGCGGATAAGAGAGAAGTAAAGAGGGCTAACAGAGAGATCTTAGAGATGTTACTTCTTCCTTTTCCTTAATCTGGAGGGCTCTGCTCCAGCGATGCCATCAGAAAGCACAGACCAGAGGAGGTATTTGGGGTATCTAAGCCCTATCCGACCAGCAAGTTCACAGGCAGAACACGTTATCAGTATACTCTACTGATGGCATTTGTCATGGTAACAACTACATAGCCTTTCCTTTCGGTTATTTCTCCCAGGCACTGAGCCACATCCTGAGACTTCAGTTCTGCCAGAAAATGAGGATGTAAAGGGAGACAAAAATTTAGTCTCTCATATTTCTTCTGTTGCAAGTACAATTTTACCTCTCTGAACAAGTGTTTTCCCAACTGAAATACGCGAAGACTAAGCTCTTCAGCGAGGGTGGAAATCACGGTCATGTGGGCAGGGGGCGGGGTGAAGGCGCATCTTACTTCTGCAGTCCTGCTGGAGGGCGTCGCCATAGTACCCAAAACGGCAGAGCTGGCAATGCTCTCCTTCTGTGTGGTACAGGCACTTGAGGCACCTCCCAGTGTCCTTGTCACAGGCTTCCGGGTCTGTCGTGTCAATGTTGTGGTGGCACTGGCAAGGCTGACATGAGCCCCCCACAACCGAGGGATTGCCAAAGAACCCAGAAGCACAGTCGTCACACCTGGAGCCTATTGTGAGACAAAACCAAACACAAGATGCTTAGCACAGCGACCAGGTGGAAGTGGCCCACATTCCCATCTGGAGGTCTTCCCCGTGCTTCACAGAGCCTGGGATGAAGCCTCTGAAGGGGGAGGAACAGGCTCTGAGCTGTGAGGGGAAGAAGCACTGCCACACTGTCTCAGAGCCACAGCCGCGCACCGACAGTGACAGAAAGGTTCAGCACACGGGACTTCAGCTTCTGATTACACAGCGGTATGGCAGGCTGGGAGCTAAATTACAATCAAACAGGGTAAAGTGCAGTTTGATGTTACAACATTAACCCAAGGAGCGTATAAACTGAACTAAAATTATTGCTCCTTCGTGAGCAACTTGAAAGATGCATCCTTAGTGCTGATTGGTTTCCCTAAGACATCCTGAAATTACACGCGAAAGGCAGGTAGTGAAGTGTGCATTTGCACGACTAGAACTTGTAACCGTGGCTTCCAGGATGAAATGGAGTTTATTTTCACAACTAGCTAATTTCACTGGGCCTTGACAGATAATCTGAGTCTCATACACAGGGAAGCATATACTCCGTTATCTGACGGCTCCTAGGGTAATTTCTTCTTTCTTCTGCCCACCGTTGGGCCGTTTCACTACTTAGAGACACTTCTACTAAGAGTTAGAGGAAGTAAAATATGAATTAAATCTTTTTCTCTTTAGTAACAGGAAAGTGTTTTATAAGGTTTTGTTTATGGATTTAAATGAGCTTCACTCATATCCTGCTTTGCCTTCTAATTTATTATCAGACATCCCAAAACTGACTACCCTACAAGCCAAACAGGAAAAGAGCATCTTTTCTATTTCATATTCATTTAAGTTTTAATTAAGCATTGTAAATGCGAATTTACTGGCTTCCTCTTCATCTTTTTTTCTCATTAACAATACAGACACATCTTTTCCTTCTTTGCCTCCCAGACCTTGCATGTGACTCACCAATGTATCCAGGATCACACACGCATGCAAGCTGTGAAGTAACAGGATCTTGATAACAGCTCCTGGCAAACTGGCGTCCGCTATCAGGACCATCCGGGCAAGGGCAAGGGCGGCAGTGATCTCCCGACCCGATGATGGGGTCACCATAGTAACCAGCCAAGCACCTGCATCAGTGGCAGGGAAAAAGGGGCAGTTGTCAAAAACTCGTTCCAAGAAAAGTCTTAGAAACTGCGTTCTGTCGGGAACGTTCTTCCCCGTCCCTCCTGATTCTGTGTGGAGGACATTCCACCGAAACAATGGTTCTCAAACATTACTTCCAATCAGAATCACCTAGAGGGTTTGTGCAAACAGATTGCTGGGCTCTTCTTTCTGCATTTCTCATTTGTGAAGTCCCCTGTTGACCTGAGGATCATACTCACAGAACCACTGCATTAAGGTGACACCCATGGCCTTGTCTGGCCCCTTACTTGCTGCTTCCCAGAAGAGCCACAGCTCCCCAGATGAACTCCTTTATTCTGTCAGCTGCCTGGCTCCTCCCTCCTGCCAGGGAAGGTTGGTGTGTGCGCAAGCCCATGGTGGCCACAGGTCTCAACCCTGTAATTCAGGGTTACCAGCATGAAGCTGACAGGGCTGCTCTCCAGCTGGGTGACCTTTGTGTCTATCTCTCAGGTGGCTCCACACTTGGACAGGGATGAGAGATGTTGCTTATTAACCCCCAAATCCAACCTGTCAGTCCCTTCCTTTTAAAGATAACAAATCTAGGCTCAGCACCTGTGGCTAAGGCGCTAGCCACATACACCTAAGGTGGCGGGTATCCAGGCCAGGCCCACCAAACAACGATGGCTGCAACCAAAAAAAATAGCCGGGCGTTGTGGTGTGCGCCTATGGTCCTAGCTACTTGGGAGGCGGAGGCAGGAGACTCGCTTGAGCCTAGGAGTTGGAGGTTGCTGTGAGC